TAACCTTCTTTTCTCATGTCCACTTTTAAATACCTTTAATTTTGTGAATGTTTTTCACATCGCCATAACCTACGTTTTATGCTTCATATGCTTAATCAGCTGGTTTTTTTGTGTGTTTGTTTTACAGAAGCAAAACTAGTGCCTGTAAAAAAAAATCATCCTCAAAACATCCTCATACTCCATTCCCACGCTCTGACACTGGAGTACAGCTAAACCAACCCTCTAGTAGGGAAACTTAGGACTGACTGACAAGACAAGACAGTTCATCTTCAAGTCTGAAATAGCTACACTTCACCTCAGGAATGGACAGTTGGATTGGTCCCCACATTCTTGTTGAAGTGGCAGTTATCTTAAGATGCACATTCATTTTGCAAATTTGGATGAAAGGAAATATTTTGGTAAAAAGAAATCTGTAAACTAATAGGCTATTTAAGAATCTAGCATTTTTAGCAAAGTAAAAACCACATTACTAACAACTATGAGTCTGCATTTTGGTTCATCACTCATTACACCCCTGCACTACATGTTTTATGCCCTCAGCAGCCTCTTTCCCCCAGCCAACTCTGCCTATATACTCTTTCCTTTTCAGTGCGTAATTGTTGTTTTTCTTTATTTTGCCATGAATTCCCCTTTGTTATTGATGGGGTCTTGTGTATCAGACCTGATATATTTACCAGATCTTCTAAACAGTTTGTTTATTTTAAACACTTATTAAAAAAAAAAAAGATGCACTAAGAAGATAAGAAAATACATTACAAAAATGACCAGGCACAGTGGAGTGTTAAAATGCATTATAGTTTTTTTTTTTTAAGAAATTGAATGTATTTCTAATGGATTCCAACTGTGTGAATTCCTTTACATGATGCTTTTCTTACAGAACATTAGCATTTTATAAATTTGTAATAATGGCATTGAATAAATCCTACTTTCCCAAGTTTCATCTGTGCCATTCTCTATTTGTCTTGAGGGTTTCTGTTGCATGAAAGTACACCGATAGTTTAAAGAGCCACCCATCAAACCACTAGGTGGCAGTATCCATCTTTCCACTGTATCCTGTTTCCACTAAGTTTCAGTGTGTGGGCCCTTGAATTTAAACACAGCTGTATGCATGTTTGTGTTAAATCCATTGACCACAGTGGATCCTGGGATGGGACCGTGTGGTGTATTAGAAAAGCTGTGAGGAAATGCCAGAGTGCTCATGGGAATCGCCACCGCCGAAAATGCACATTTCATGTCCTACTTTTTGAGCAGCACTAAGCAACATGACCTAAACAAATAATCTGCAATGAAATATACTTTTGTGTACCAGGTCATTCATCAACCATTTCCCTGCTGGTCTCATAATATAAATAAAAATAGGTTATTAATGACTTGTATTCTTGCAAACTGCTTACATATGGAAACGTTTAAGCAATTTGTTTTTTTTTTGCATTACTCCACACAAGGCTGTTAAGGAAACTGCTGCTAACAGTGCTTAATACCGCTTCATTAGCCAGCACCTAAGTAATTCCACACATATAGCGGTGAAGGGTTACACCTGAGTGAGACGTGTTCAAGTTATGTTGGTCGTGTGCATACACAGAATATACTGTACCTGTCCAGGATGCCTTCGTCAATATTGACATCACCGGTGGTACAGTCACGGTGACTTTTAGGTTTCCGTTCACTGATTGGATGAAAGGCACAGACTACAGCCAATGAGATGGTAACACATTATCAGTACAAACATGTTAGTTTGCCAACTGCGATCAGAGCAAACAGTGTTTAAAAGCGTGGCATTTTTTGGAACATGAATAGAAATAGGTAATATAAGGCCCAGACATCAAGATGAAGTGCCTGCTTTAAGGTGCCATAGTTAGGCATTAACTCACAGCGATCTTACTCACTTCACTGTCTGAAACTGTACAGTTAATGATCTGAGTACATCAGTGTGAAACAGACAAGTATCAGTCCTAAATTTAGTCATTTTCATGTTCCCTTTGTGTGGCTGCTGTAGTGTTATGATAAAGAATTTCCTCAGTCCTTGCACTAATCACAGAAATAAAACTTCGAGGCAATGATGCACTGTGTACAATTTGTCAGTGCCGTTATAAAGGAACAAATCTGCTTGCTTCAAAGACTTATTGTGCTGAGTTTATGAATTTTCTTATCTCCCCTTAGGCACGCTTGGATAATTTGCAAGCTATAAATGTATGATAAGGAGTACGATTTTGCAAATTTTCACAGCTTTTGGAGACATTATCAGTGATTGGCCATGAATAATTCATTCAACATCTTTATGAACCCTACTTTTTTTTGTCACTATCATGTCAGAAGCCTCAGTCACACAAACACACGTACTGCTCTTAGACAGTCAGGCCCTGGATTTGAAAATGCTTAATGGAAAAGTATAACCAAAAAGGACAGTCTTTTTACCACTTTGGTTGAGGTCATGGATAGTTAAACTGCAAAGAGCCAACAGGCCAACATCTTACATACGCTGACTGAGCCTGTGAAAGCACCTGCCTCATGTCCCACAGCTCTACACTGTTCAGTCATAATAAATGCAGACAGAAGCCTTGGAGCAGGGCTGGAGGCATGAGGCATGAAGGCCTCCTCAAATAGAAACCGTGACCTCTGAACGGGCTCACTACAAAAAAAGTGCACCTGCAGAGCTTGCTGACGTAACTGAACTGTGTGCTTCCTTAGTGAAACAGAACAGGGTGCTTATTCCCAGTGCTCATCAGGTAAAATTTGCACACAGCTACAGTTTAAAAAAAAAAATCAACCTTCCTGCCAAGAAACCCATGACACAAGTGATTTGTACAACATCCCTCCTCTTTAGTGTGATTGCGAGTTCGAACTTAAGGAAAACTAACCACTAAGTGTTGTCCAAAGTAGACCTTTGGCCTTTTCAGTATTCAATATTTAGCCATCTATATACTGCTGCACATCAGTGACATGTTTGTGAGTTACATATGGGAACTTATTTGATGAGAATTAATATAATACTGAGGGAGATCACATAATTCTTTCTGATTCTCAGTGAATCCCACAGTAATTTCATGGCAAAGCTACATGTTTGTAGCACTTAAAAGTCTGAAAAGTATTATCTTCCTTTTATTAATGCTATTCTGTCATTAATGCAACACTAAAAAGCTCAAAGGACGACAGGCAAAATCTTTTAGGTTAGTGTGCCCTGCCCTGCTCAGGCAGTCATTTGCTTTCACGCACACAATATAAACACAATGTCATTGCAGATTCTAAGTAAATTACATTTGTAGACCAACAAGACAAGTGTTTCATCTCCTCTCACAACAGAAATACTTTGAGTGTGATTATATTTCACAGCAGTTTATGCGATGTTGTGTAAGTAAAAGGCTAGTTATCATCTTGATTATCAGCATATATACATACTAGGGAGAGAGAGATCTCGTGAACATATCTGGCCGATGCTGAACTTTCAGTAGCTGGAGGAGTGAGAAAAGGTAGTGAAAATGCTAAATCACTGACTCTGGTTTGTGTGCATCAGTCACCATATAAAGAGATGTTATTGGGTAGTAACAAGTAAGACAGGTTTCATAAACAAGAAATTATTTAACACCAACTGAATATATAGTTAGTATGTTGTAGGATAGAAAACAAGCAGCAATCTAAGGTGCCAAGGAACATGTAGAGCTTGGTCAGGCACATATTCTTGATGCAGCCGCGTATTCAAAACCACACTTGGTTGTGTATACTGTCACATTTGAAGTCTTTTACAAAGCATTTAGTGTATTGTTGTGTATTTTCCTGATGTAATAATTATTGTTGGGTCGATGTTCTTTTTACTCTTGAGCAACAAGTGGCTCCACTTCACTAACTGGTTCGAGGAGAGGTTGTCTCAAGGATGCAAGTGTTTTCAAATGTGACCTGGGGTGTGGGCAAAGAAATGTTCCATAACTAGTGTAGAGGAGCTACAGATTTGATTGACACTCATCCTACTTGTCCTACTTGAATGAATTAATTACACAGGCACACAAGCCTTCACATTGTTCAATGCATTAATTAACACATTGTCATTTAATCTCCCTGTGCTAGTTTTTGGGACATTAAAATAAAGGAAGGTGTGGTGAGTAAGCCTGTCAAGAAGGACTGTAGGAACTTGAACGTCACTATTGCTAACAATGTTATCCTGCAGGTGTGGCTAATAATGATAATTTCTAGGAGGCCTGCAGCCTTGCCTGGAAGGTTTTACTTTTGTATGTGAAATGGCGCAGATGGTCCAGTCTGTCTTGTGGAAAAAACAAAAGTATACTTAATGTAAAGTGGCGACACAATAATAGAAAACTGTAAATAAAAGTAATAAAAGTGCTGTTTTGAACAAATCAGTATAGTATCAGCAGTACAGTGTATTTATGCTTCAGACATACAAGATGCATTTAAAGAAGAATGCCTCATAATGCTGTGCAGCCAAGTGACATTCAATGAAAGACACCAGACTTTCCTAAGATGTCAAGTATGTTTTTCTTTGGGCGGAATTTGTATAAACAAATATCTCGCGGTTTGCATTTTTCTCTGGGTGAAAACATCATATAGCATGAAACCAGCTAGAAAAGAACAAGCTGATACTGATAATATAAGATATAACAACTTAACAAATGGGACACCAAAAAGGGAAAACTGTATGTTTTCTTTTTAAGCAAACAAAACTACTACTATTACTACCAGCTGTATATACATGTAACACAGTACTAAGTGTATTTGTCTCACAAAAATAGCCGGTAGCCTCCTTTAAAAAAAAAAAACAATTTACTTCAGCAAATTCACTTGTGACACATTCCACTTCAAACAAACCACTTCTGTTTGACTGACCTACTAAATGAGCCCTTTTCATGTGTTTCACGGCGCTGCGACTACAACTCCCGGCATGCTCACTGCCACGTTCCAGCCAATCAGAGGCCGTCTGGGGGGTTTATGGCAGCTATTTGGGGCACGGGGCCAGCGCGTCTAGCCAGCTCGAAGTGCCACGACTTCACAGCAGAGCACGGATCCTCCAGCGGAGTGAGTGGAGAGAGAGAGAGAGAGAGGGGGAGAGAGCACTGGGAGAAGAAGAGGAAGGAAAAAAAGAAAGCTAGTTAGCCAGATAGCTGGATGAAATAGGCAGCTTTTGCACAGAAGTCATTTATAATTTAAAGCTTTTGCAGCCTCTCTCTGTTCCCGTTGAAGCAAGCAGCTCCATCAGCAGCGAGGTTAGTGTGGGAATTTTATTTTATCTCATTGAGCCAGCGTTAGCTTGCTTTGGGGGGGTGGTGGTGGTGGGGGGGGCAGCTAACTCCTGAGCTAACTCCTGGTAGAAAAAGACAAGCTGGTTTTTAAAGTTTATCCTGAAAATGTGTTTTTTTTTTTTGTATTTTAAAGATGTGTTTTCAGCGGTTTAGTTTGCAGTTTTGGTGTCACTTTGGACCATGACGTGCAGCCAAGTTCATTGATTCATAGTGTTAGCTGCAATGCTAGCAAGTAGTGATTTAAAAGCCATATCAACATAAAATAAATGGTGACAGGATTAGACACTCTTTATTTGATTCAACGCGTGTTTGAATAGATTGTAGGTTGTTTGCTTAATGTCTCTCAAAATCTTCAAGGTCTTTTTTTTTTTTCCATTTGTGGCCTCAGTGTGATCATTTTAGTGGTAGTTTGGTTTTAAATAAACAGTTTTTGTTTTTTTGGAAGTCGATGGGATTGTGTTAAAGTAGTGGATTAAAAAATGGGAGATTTAGTAGGAATAGTTCTTCCTTTTTGCAGTATGTCTGAAACCCAAACTAATAAAACTATCTTTAAAAGGCGAGAAAATGTACATAGTTTAAATTTACATAATCACCTCCCAGGTTTAATAAAGTGAAGAGATTATTTATCTATTATAGCTGAAGACTACTAATGCAACCCCCTGTGGATATCCCATTGCCCATGAATGAAAGCCAGATGTTTGTGACTTATAAAAGGGGTATAAAGTTTGTTCCTAAGGTCCATCTTAACATCTTATCTCTTAAAGACCCTGATATGCACTTTAATCTTAAGAAAAAGTTACCCCGGGTCCGTTTTCTCAAAGTCCTCTTTTTCAGTCTGAGCAGAGATGCACTGACGTGTGATATATCACAGATTAGGAGGCAGTACAAACTCTCCCCTTTCACTACTAGCTTTTAGACCCTGCAATGAACGAGGACTCTGGACTCTTGTTTCGATTACACTGAAGTATCTCAGCAGTTTTCCTCTCCCGTGTCACAGTGTTGGTTTGTTTTAAAACAATAAACCCTTCAAGGATTGTCCTTTTTTTTTTTTTTTTTCTTTTTTTTTTTTTGCATTAAATAAAGGATAATATAATATATGATCGGATAACATCCCCCATCCATGATATAAACGGATATAAACTGCAGCAACAATACATCAAAGAAAGGGTTTTAGTGTCCCTAAACTGGCAGATACTCCCAGCCAGTTTCCCTCCCCTGCAGGCTAAATATTCTGGTTTGTCACAGGCGCCTTTAAGAGTCTTAAAGGGATAGTTGAAAGCCCCTTTTAAGGGATGTTTTTTTTTTTTTACAGAGCAGGAAATTAACACTAACCATCAGCCAACTTCTGGAAGTTTTTGGCAGTTGCTGGTAACTTTATGTACTTTTGTCTGAAACTCTCTTCCCATTATGGCGTCGTGGTGTCTTTCCTTGCCATAACTTTATATTTAGGTCGTTTAATAGTGTAAGATTTATTTTTAGTCCCTGTCACATATTTCACACATGCACTTAACTCCTTAATATCTCTGATCATTTTAGCATTTGACATATGTAATAGTTGCTCTAGTAACTTTTTTCATTAAAACTTTTCTTTTTAATGGTTGAATAGGTATTAAAATTACATTTATTATGTTTGTATATATGAATAAAATAGTCTTTATGTTAACTGTAATGCTTACTCCTCATACACAACTTGCCATGTGTTGGATTTCTGTGTTTCTTGTATTATAATGGATCTTTCTGCTGATGAGTAAAATAGCATTTTTGTATAGAATCATGTATTTTAGTTGATCTTGTGCCACGTTACAACAGCAGTGTAATAATTCAAATAATCATTATAATGTGCAAAGAAATTAAAACAGTTAAATATACTTTACTTTTTGAAACTTTTTTTGAGACATTTCAAACCCTTGAGTTGTTTTAAGGGCAGGGGGATCTCAGCAAGGTGCTACTATTTCATTGTGTTTACTTTGGCTTTGTTTGCTTGAGTCCTTGTACCTAAGCTCAGTACTGTATTTCTAACAGAAGCAGTCAGTGTGTGAGATTTAGCTATGATTGTGAGTTTGAGCTGTATGAACACAGATGTTTAACCCTATGTAGGAAGGCTATATGGCAAGAGCAGCTGTTACTTGATAAGATTTGCTGGTCTGCATTATTCAGCCTTAGCCCCAACGTTTATGGGTAAAACAGTGACACCTTGAGGCTTTTGAAGGTAAAAGCTTAGTTTTTTTTCCCCTCTATATGGCATTAATCACAATTCTCTCTCTCATCATCTGCTGTGTTAATACAGCTGCTTTGCCTAGGCACAAATACTGTTAAATTAATTAATATATGAATTTCTTTCTCCCGTCGTAGAACTGCCTGGACTTTTTCTCTACAGAAAAAAAAAATCGTTTAAGTTGTTAACTGCGTTGACACACTCTGCCACTCTCTTTTCAGGTTAACTGAAATTGAACAATGGATATCTATGACCCCCAGACCCTTGGGATCATGGTGTTTGGTGGATTCATGGTGATCTCTGCTGTCGGGATTGCCCTTGTCTCCACCTTCTCCATGAAGGAGACTTCCTATGAGGAGGCCCTGGCTAAACAACGCAGAGAGTTGGGTAAGCCGCAGTCCGCTCGCACTGAGAAAAAGAAGAAGGACAAAGTATCTGAGAAGAAGAGCCGTGGAAAGAAGAAAGAAGAAAAGCCCAATGGAAAGATCCCAGAGCCTGACAACATTCAAGAGGAAGCTGAATCCGACACAGTCATTGAGCCTGCTGTTGCCCCAGTTGTAGCTGCTGCTCCTGCTCCTGCCCCTGAGCCTGTCCCTGCTTTGGAGGTTAAACCTACTGCAGCCCCAGAGCCAGCAGACACTCAACCCAAGACTGCAGCTGAACCAAGCCCTGCCCTCACCGAGCCCTCTCCCGCTCCCTCACCTAAAGAGAAAAAGAAGAAAAAGGTGGCCAAGGTCGAGCCAGCCTCTACCCAATCAGCTCCACTCATGGCAGCCCCTGCACCAGTCAAGTCCTCTTTGGCCCCTGCATCAACCCAGGCCCCTGTGCCTGCTCCGACTAAAGCAACCCCTGCATCAGCCAAGTCTGCCCCTGCCCCTGCGTCAGCTAAATCTGCCCCTGCATCCGCTAAGTCTGCCCCTGCCCCTGCCACTTGCATCAGCTAAGTCGGCTGCTGCATCAGCTAAGTCGGCTCCTGCCCCAGCCAAGTCTGCCCCTGCCCCAGCCCCTGCCCCAGCCAAGTCTGCCCCTGCCCCAGCCAAGTCTGCCCCTGCGCCAGCCAAGTCTGCTGCAGCCCCGGCCAAGTCTTCACCAGCTCCATCCAAGACTGCCCCTGTGCTGGAGGCTGTCACTAAAGATGTCCCAGTGATGGCAGTGCCCCCGGTGGGATCTCAGCAAGCTACCGCTGTTGCAGGAAAAGCACAGGAGCCCAAGAAGAAGGCCTCCAAGAAAAAGGCTGAGCCAGGTAAGCAAATCTAGTTGAGAGATATCTACTTAACATTTTGCAGTTATACATTTTATTTTATTATTTCTTTATCTTATTCTGTTATGTGTACAGTATTGATGTGGTTATTAAAGAGATATCCAAAATGTTGAAATCTACAGATAATCTCAGCACAGCATGGAAAAGAGAATAATACAGATAGATCATAGTACTGTTATCAATATGTTGTTAAACTAAACCATCACTGTTTAAAATGAACCTTTTTCATTGAACTGGAAATGGTTGTTGAGGCAGGAACTACATTAGCCATAACACCGGTGTTAGTACTCAGACTTGAATGTTTGGAGGTGGAGTGGGGGCATGTCTGTACAGTTGAATAGCACACGCCCACGCTCACAAACTAAGGCAGTAATACCCTGTCAGTGCTGATGAACTTCTAGCTGTGTATCCTTGGAAATTAGTGCCAATGGCAGTAGTGGGCGATGTTTGGCACTCTGCTCTGGAGGGCATACAGCACGCCAGCTAGTCCAAACACCACTGCCCTGTTTTGTTAACAGACAAAGACTCTCAGTGCCCTGACAATGGGTAGGGAGGGGGGCGGGGTTCTCCCTTGCCTGAGGCTTGTCTCTGCCTGGCGCCACAGTGCCCCATCATTTTGCCATCCGAAGCTGCCCAGGGCCTAAGACCCAAAGGACAAGGCACAACCTTGTCCTTTTTACCGAGGCAGTGTGGTAATTCAGACTTCACCGGAACAGTCTAATCAGCTCTAAAACTGTCTGGCCTTTTGATTTTTAAAAAATGAAATAAATTCTGTATTCCTTATCTCATGCCACTGTGTTACTGTGCGTTACATTCAAATGGTTTGTGTTTGCTTCCTTTAGTTCCAGCGGTGGATTCTGCTGATGCTCCACTGTACCTGCCCTACAAGGCTCTGGTGTCCACCATCAGTAGCATGGTGTTCAGTGAGGGAGAGGCTCATAGGCTGATCGAGATCCTGTCTGAGAAAATCGGCATCATTCAGGACACCTGGCACATGGTATGGGGCCGTCAATGATTGAGTGAGAGTGTGCGGGCACAAGATAGTTTACCTACAATGTATTCAGTGAACTATGTTTTTCACTTTATTTTTGTTGTCTTTCTGTGTACGTGTGTCTTCAGGCCACTCAGAAAGGAGACCCAGTGGCCATGCTGAAGAAACAACTGGAGGAGAGGGAGAAACAGCTGGCAGCAGAACAAGAGGACGCTACTGCAGCAAAGAACCGCCTCAGAGAACTCACCAAGGTTAGACATACAAGGGTCTCTCAACTTATAATGAAGCCACAGATAGGGTCCAGTTCCTGCCACAAAAACATCATCTGGTCTATAGCCATGCTCATTACTTTAAAAAACAAAATTGTATTTTCTTTCTACTATTGAGGCAAGAAGTGCAGCTCGGCCTGAAGGGGGCAGCAGAGGAAAGAACATTTTGTTACCTAAGTCAAAAGAATGTACTTTGGTGCACAAGAACATGTTCTGACATTCAGATTGCAGCTTTATCTTTTTGTCCTGAAGGTGGCAATAGAGGAAAGTTAAGGTGACCCAATGCATAGGCCACATCCATTAACAGGCATAAAGGGCTCACTCAGTTTCATGGTAATCCAACCTACTAGATTTAGATATTAGGAAGTATGTGAAAGTCCATTCTTAGGACAGCTGGATTTTTCTCCGAAAATATCACGTCTGTCTGTATGTTCTGTATACTTTAATATTGTATACAAAGTAAACATTAAGGAATTAATTATTCTCAATTAATTACCCTAAAAAAAGTTCTTAATTCATTAGTCAATGGATTATGGCTGTCTTTACTTAATTTCATAACAATAGTTTAATCTGAATGTGCTCTCTGACCGTGCCGTCTGTTTACAGGAGCTGTCTGCTGAGAAGTCCAAGGTGACCAGTGTGGAGACGAGGCTGAGTTCTCAGCTGAGTAAGCGAGAGCAAGAAATGATTGCTCTGCAAGCTCGCATGCAGGCCAGTTACCAGGACCATGTAACCCAGACCCAGGGGCTCAATGCAAAGGTCAGTTCTCATACGCATAATTACAATTTGTGATCAGATTAGTACATTTTAGTTTCCATTTTGTCTCTGTATTGTCCTCTTGGTGATCTGGCTGCTAATTAGAAGTGATTTTTATTTATTTAGTTCTTCTGAGACTGATTTAAAGCAGCTGTCCAAAGTGCGAGAGTCCAACATGGCTGGTTTATGTTTTTTGTAAAAACTTGCATAATTATTTTACAGATCCTCAGCCTGCAGGACCAGCTGGAAAAAGGCCCCAATGCCCAGCTGGCCCGTCTACAGCAGGAGAACTCCATTCTCCGCGATGCCCTTAACCAAGCCACTAGTCAGGCTGAGAGCAAGTGAGTGTTTCCCTCAAACAGTAAATGAGAAGCAGTGATTTACAATGACTTGCATTTTACCTCTTTATACGACACAGTGTGTAGAAATTCAAAGGCCTGTTCGACCACACCTGAAGTTTGGCTCATATTTTTGTGAGGCCCTGACTCTTTCTCCCTACGTCTCTCTCCCCCTCTCTAATTCTGTCCTCAGACAAAATGCGGAGCTGGCCAAGCTGCGTCAGGAATGCACAAAGTTAACCAAGGAACTTGGAGAGAAGACAGAGAGTCTGCTCGCTGATGAGCACATCAGGAAAGGGCTGGAGGCCAAGGTCTCCGCTACTGAGAAGCAACTCTCCCTGCTGCAGGTTGGCATGGCCTGTGGGGGCACCACATCATCTCTTTTATAAATGACGGTGGATCAAGTTTCCACGTGGAAACAAATTTATGCACACTTTTTTTTTTTTGTGTGAGCAGCCAGTTAGTTAGAGAGTCCCTAGAAAATGCAAGTCTAGACCTTTCCCACCTACCCACCAACCCTCTAATGTTATGGGACGTTTAATTGCCTTGTAATCATGGAGCCCAGGGCTGAGCTGGAATGCAGCCATACAATAATGGGGCTGCAGGGAAAATGCTTCTCAGCACCAGCTGGAATGTGTGCGTGTCCAAGCACCTCTCCTCTCCAGCCTTCTGTAACTGGCTGTCAAAGAGCAGGAACAGTCTGCTGCTATAACACGTGACTATCAGACAGTACATCTTACATTATCGGTAAATTTGCCGTTCTTGAGAGTGTATATACATACTATCAGCCCACATATTCACTCACTGATGGAACTATTATGGGTTGTGTGGAGCAAGTGAGTCATCACTTCCTGACAGTCAAGTGTTCTTTTGGTTTAATCATTAACATCCCTGATGGACAGTTTATGGTCTTTAACCATGTTATGCAATGGCTCAGGGCATCAGTCGGTATACTGTAAACACGCTCAAATGATGCAAGATGTTGTTTTTCTAATTTCTTTGACGTGAGATGAGTTTTACTGCCTTTGTGAAATTGGTATGTGTTGCTAGACTAAACTCGGCAGTCAGTCATCATCAGCAATCAGCTGCTTTGACTGAATCTGTCAGAAGGCACAGGCAAGCTAATTATCTCAAAATCCACTCATGTTCAAAGCACTTCCTACAAGACACTTCCTTTTTAAAAAATCCAACCAAACTGCTTGCCATGCTGTTAAAATGTCTATTTTTGTTGTATTGTTACATAACCTCAAGCCAAAAGGATATTCTGATTGTCCCATAGCTGGATTATATAATGTTAGATTGTGTTTATATCCTGTTTTCTGAATGTGTGGAAATATTTTAAAGATATTTAACAGAAATGGAACACTGTCCGACTCCTCATGCACTGATATTGTCTTGCGAATCAATGCTGCAAAGTCAGATCAGACTGTGGATCTTTGCTGCCCCCTGCTGTTTGACACATGTTGATCAATTTTGTTGTCAGGCCAGCCATTCGGAGAGCGAGCAGGCGTTACAGAGGAGATTGGAGGAGGTGTGCGAGGAGCTCAGAACAACACAGAGTAAAAACGGCAGCCTGCAGGCGTCTTTGGACAAGACCCAGCAGGATAGCAGCACACTGTCAGGTCAGAGAATGGGGGAACAAGGTCTTAATGGTTGCCAGATGTTATGGCATAATACTTAACTTTTGAGCTTTGGGATCATGCAACCAGTGGTTGTATCGCAGAATATAAAATATGAAATGTGCTGTGTTTTGATAGTGGACTGTGTCCTTGCAGAGTTTCAGGTGCGTATTGAGAGATTGGAAGCCGAGATCAGGGATCGCTCTACTCAGGTGGAAGCCCTCACTGCGCAGCTGGAGGAGACACAGGCAGAGAAAAGCCAGCTTGTACAGCAGGTGGCCTCTATCAACTCACTGCTGGAGGCCAGTCAAACCAAAAAGGAGGAGGAGCAGGACAATCAGGTAGGATATAGATAGTCTGTTTAACTTTTCTGAAGTGGCAAGACGCCTGACCGCATATAATCAGACCTAAGGATGTCTGTTGTTTCTGATTCTGCAGGGGAATGCTGCAGAACTGGAACAGCTAAAGCTCAGGTAAGTGTTTGACCACACATTTCTTCAAAGTCAAAATCAGATCCAGAGCTGTTCCATTAATTAATTAAAATACTGTGCTAAATCTGCAGCCTTCAGGCGAGAGACAACCAGCTGAGCACACTTCAGGATGAACTGAAGCAACTGCAGGTGAAGCAGGAAGCTGCTGTAAGTGTTGTTGGATCTATTACCAAATAATATCACTTTTCAATTATTCAGGAGCATTAATGTTTCCTAATCACAAAATCTGTTCTTCTAACAGGAGAACACTATTGTTGAGCTAGAGCAAAGAAACAAGAGGTATTTTGCTTTTCACTATCCATCCATTTGACTCGAATCTTATGGATTTTCCACACCTGTGTTCTCTGTTTATTTCTACTTTAATCCAAATTGTGTGTCCTTTTTTTTTTTTTTTTTAGCGGGGATACCAGCCTCATCACATCACTTCAGGATGAACTCAAAAACCTCAAAGAAGAGATGGTGCAACTTAAAAACACACCAGTAAGTGCACCTTTTGATGTGTTGCATCATTTTACTTCTCAAGCTGCCCTGCAGAACGAGACATTATCTGGGTGACTCATTTGCATGTCCACTTTGTTCCAGCAGTCGGATGACTCCGCAGAGCTCGGACTACTACAGAACAGGTAAATGAGTTTTGGCACATGGAGGAAAAAAAAAAAAAAAAGTTTCTCT